AAAAATATATGTTGCATGCACATTTAGGATTTAATTGTGCACTTAGGAATTAACTGAACCATGTTTTGTTTTTAAAAGAAAGAAAATCACAAAATATGTATTTGTTGCATTTTTGTCGTTTTATTGTCCAATTGTGTGATTTTGTTTTTTATTAATATTGAATCTTGGGTGTCAATTATTATTTAGGTTTAATTAATATTTTTAATTTAATTTTGGTTTTACAACTTATTTTAGAATTTTTGGTAATTAGGAATTAAAAAGGAAAATAATAGAAAAGAAAAACAAGTGAAATAAGAAACACATTCGGAACTGGGCCATTTTTTTGGACCCAAAATCAGGCCCAAAACACCCCATTTACCCGGTCCAATATGCCTGATCTCTTAGATGACTCAAACGACGCCGTTTAGGCGTCTCAAATCTGAACCGTTGATCAAATAGATCAAACGGTCCAGTTCAGCCCCAGCATTGGTTCAAACGACACCGTTTCAGGTGATTAAATCTGAACCATCTGTTTCTTTTGATCTAACGGTCCCAGGCTTCCCCCATAACATGGTCCATTTCACCCCGGGTCGACCCAGTCTCGTAGCATGGCCAAACGATGTCGTTTCCTATTAGTAAAATGATCTAGGCCGTTGATCGTGATTGATCCAATGGCCAAGATCAAACGCCCCCTCCCGTATATAACCCTAATCTCTTACCCCACGCCCCCAAACCAAACCCCCCTCACCCCATCGTCTCTCTCTCAAGCTCAGAGACAAACCAGACCAAACCCTAGCCGCCATTGTTGCACCTTCTCCTGAAACTCGGCGGCAACAACGTCGTCGGTCACCAAATTAACACCCCTAATCCATCTGACCACCCTCGTTACGAATCTGTTAATCGTTTGCCTCGAATCAACCTCTAGCTTCTCGAATCTTCAATCGAAGATTCGAGAAAACCCTAAACCTACCCCAACCAGTCCCAAACTCACACCACGGCACCCTCTGATATCCCTCGTGCCCAAAATACCTTTGGCCTGGTTCGAATCTTGCTAGAACCGTTCGAACCCCAAATGGAACCAAGACCCCTATAAAGACCAAACCTGGATTTTGTCCGAAATTAAAGGAATTTGGGCGTCTAATCGACCTTAGTCGAAGTGTTCTTCCTTGAGAACACTCGATTAAGGTCCGTTCGACCTCAAAAAGTTCGGGTCAAGAGTTCGACCTGGGTTCGTCTAGTTTCTGTTTTGTTAAGGTATTTTTTTTCTCCTTTCTTTCTTGTTCTATTTTTGTTACGGTTAATTGTGTTTAGTTTAGTTATAATCCAGTTTTTGTTCATTGCTTCTTCTTCTTCTCCAATCAGACCTTTTTATTTGATCGAGTCTGCTTCTGTTCATGGTCGAATATATGTTATTAGCCATGTAATTTGTTAGTTTATAAGTTCTCTGTTTTTGCCAATACCACTCGAATCACTTGTTGGTATGTTTATTCTGATTGTTTGTTGTTAACTACTAAATGTTATAACCTGTGTAATCAATTGAATAAGCGTCGTCAATTAGTCTTTTAGGCTTGAATGTTATGTTAACATGATAATAGTTCAACCTTTGGTTCATACCAATATATTTACCATCCTGCATCTTGTATATACTTGAATTAGAGTTGTGTTTGCTCATTCCCTATATTTGGTTTGACCTCCTGTTCTTTATAGTTGTTCGCATGAACCTCCTTCCTTGATTCATACTGCTTCAATTTTGGTTTGTATTATTGAATCTCTGCTCAATCCCTAGGTCTGAGTTGATTAGGATTGGTTCCCAATATGATCAACTCATTCCCTTTGATTGATGCCATGTTTGAAATGATGTGGTCTTCTGCTTTGAATCACTGTGTTGATAGTGGGAATTGGTTTATAGATGTAGTAATTTAGTGATCAATTAGAAATTAGTTGTTAGGGTTACAACTTATAGAGTTTTAATAACAGATCAATGAAGCTTAGGGCAGGGCAGAAATACACCGGGGTTTCAGGGGTAGTTTTGGGATTTAAAAGTTGGCAAAATGGTCTTGCTAAGTGGGCTGTCAGTAAAGCACTTAACTAACATTAAACTAATGTATTTGTTTAGTGTTAATGGGGAACAAAACATAATGGTAGGGGAAGGCTTAAAAGGGATTGATTAAAATATGTGGCACATGCCTGTTTGAACATTAAATAAGGAAAAGACATACTCTAGTGGAATTAAAAGAAGATCATAGGCAGAATTAGTGGGAGGATTCTGCCTGAGTGCTTTTGAGAGGGGGGCAAGGTCAGTGTTTGGTATAAAATAGGGGTCTGGACAGAGTTAAGGGCAGGTTTTTTTTTTTTTGGAGAAGAGAAATCAGTTTTTTTTTCCAGAGAGTCTAGGCTGGATTTTTAACATTTAAGAGTTCAGTAATTTGAGAGAAAAAACGAGAGGTTGGTTGTTAATCCTAAAAGTTTCAGTGTTTGAGAGCTAAGAAACTGAAAAGTGAGGTCTTTTCTTTTACTGTTGAATATCAGAACTAGTACTGTTACTGTTTCATTGGTGTTGTTGGTTGGTATTTCTGGGGTTTCAATTGGTTTTTCCTGAGTTTGCTATTGGTTATTTGCTACTGTTTCATTGGGTGTTACTGGAATTCTGCTGGTTTTTTTTATCTGTTACTGGGTTGTTCTGTTACTGTGTTGCTGGTTATTACTGTTGCTATTTGCTACTGCTCTGCCGATCCTCCTCTTCTTCTTCTATTGTCTATTACCATGTATACTTTCAAATCACACTGTGATGTAGCTGTGAGATGTAAAAGTGAAAAGAAAATGCTCGAGTAGTGGAGTACTTAGTGCATCTGTAATTTAGTAGATAAATGATAAGTTGTATAGTCTATCTTTATAACTCAATGAAGAATGTGGACTGTGGAGTTTGTAGCTAATAAGGACTGTATTGGACCATTAATTTGCCTTTCTTGGTTGTAAATTTAGTAATTTAATACCAACTTTAGTAGCATAGAATTAAAAAATCAAACTTCCAAGTTAACTGTGATTTCCCCGAATAGTTAAGTATGCCCATTATTGTCAAACTGTTTAGTTAAATAAGTGGAATAAGATGAAGATAGCATGAGTTTGTTCTATTGAACCTGCCTGTTTAAACTTGTTAGTTTCACTAGCTATGAAGGTTTTAATATTGTCAACAGTAGGTAGATAATGATTGTTGGCAGCCCATTTGCTCAAAAAGTTGAAATATTGGGTTTGGCTTCATCATGTAAAGCAATTGGCAATAGCCTGTGTATGTTAAATCAGACTCGAATCCGCTTCTGTGAGTCGAACACTGAACTTGGCCTGAATAACGCATGAAATCTGGTCGTAGGAAACGGGCTCGATCACAAGAACATCCTTAAAAATCATACAATAGAGTTAAGTAACAATTGGTTGGGACCTTCATTT